GATTTTTATAATTTTTTATTCAACAACTACTATACAATTTTTTAGGAAATTTACGACAGTTCACTGTGGTTTTCAGGACAGCAAAATTGGATTAAATTTATAGGCATACAAGTTTTTAGTCAGAGCTTTGCCTTCGATCCCAAGGGACGTTAGAACAAAAAGTATTCTTCGTTAGTTGTGCACTAAGTTTATAAAATATTTCGTCTATTTTAGTATGGGAGCTTTTACATAATTGAATAGCATACGAGTGAAGACTTCGATATCTATAGTATCAATGCTACATTTTGATTAAGATGAAGCTGTTAGAAGCGATAGTCTCAACTTAAAAATAACCCGTTATATGTATTATTGAATTTGCTAACTTATTCCTAAAATAAAGAAAAAAATCTGTAACGTACGATGTCCTAGTGAAACGTGTTAAAGGGTTCGAAAAGTTAAAATGCGTTTTGTTTGTAAATTATCTCTGCGAATCTTATCATTCCGGGTTTTGTGAAAATATTAGGGTATCAAAATATGTATTCCCGATGTACCAAAAGTTTTTGTTTCAGAATCGAATACGCAGGAGTTCAATAACAGAAACATCCGTGTCATTAAAAAGATAATATTCGTATGTTTCATTTCGTGAGTTCATTTTGCAAGGTATAAGGAACACAGGAACAATAGTCGCGAGGAGAGCGATAAAGTTTTGTAAGCCACGTCTTACAGTCTTTTGGGAGTTTGTACAGAATGCGGGAAGAACTAACTGTGCAATGGGACTTCTAAATAAAATGTTAGTAGCTAGTGCTGGCTACTTATAAAGTTTTCTACATTATATAAAAGTATCAGTTGTATGGTATAGTACTACTATCTTTTGTAATTGCTTTTGAATGTCTCCTTTTGATAGTCTAGTACATCTTTTTAATTTTTAGCCACAATAGAATCATTATTTATTAAATATCATAATATTAGTATAATGCGAATTTTTTTTAATTACTTTCTTATTACAACGTCTTTATTTAAGCTTTTTTTGGCATATAATTTGCAACGCTTTTTATACAGTACTTCTTATCTATGTATCTTTAAGGGAAAGCCTCTCGAGACTCTGTAGTTTTAACATGTCCTCCCCTATACTACAAAAGAACCCCACCAATTTCCTTATTCCCTTCAACGAAGATGTTATATCATAGCTTTCTAGAAGTGGTTATTAAAATAGTAATTCATAAATATATATAAATCTTATTTGGCTATTGAATATGTAGATGACTTTAAGCACCTAAGAATCGTGTTTACAGAAAAATAATATTAATTTAAATTTAAAAATAAACAAGAGAAATGAGTTCGTTAACCAAGATTCAATCAACAAGCTTTGTTTACTTTTAAACAGATATAAATATTGATCATTTTTGAATGTCAAAGTGGAGAAAAACCTATTAATATTTTTAGGTGTTTACGTTTTATATAAATAATTAGATTATAAATACGATTTTATTAACGAAATGCGTATCGTTTGGGTTATTATAAGAGTTGATAAAACTAAATAAAGACATTCATAACGATGGTATATTTTATATTACTGTGGGAAATAAATGGGTCAATTCAATTTTGTCACGTAATGGCGTCCCGGTTATTTCATTCAGTTTAAGCTATCTGACTAAAGACACCCATCAAATTTCATTACTTAATTAAACATATTAAAATAATTGATGTTAGCTTTTAAAAGTCTATTACTTGAGAAGCATTACTCCTACAATAATATATATATTTGTGTCATCTTGTACAATGTAAAATTTAGTAAAAATAACCTAGATGATTTATGAAACGAAATTATTTTATATTAAAAATATATTTTTTTCTTCTATTTCTAAGAGTTCTTTCTATAGTGGTCGAATCATATTTATTATACATTTTTTTTAAATTTTAATTTCATTGATAATATCAAAGTTTAACTACTCAAATAAAAATATTATCCAAATAAAAATAGACATGAGTGTCCTAGACTTAAATCCAAACACATATATCAATACATACCTACTTAAAAACTTTTTGTTTAATACTACTTGTCACATATAACAAAGTATCTTAACATATTATTTAAGACAAAGTTGTTCTCGAAATAAATTTTGCTCATACTCTTTGAGGGATGTTATACCTAAAAGGAGTTTACATTGTGAACTTAAAACGATAATAATCGTATATTGTTGCAAAGACTCCTGAAACAACCTAACTTGCTTCTATAGTATTTTATTACTGCTGTAAATTAAATACCTCGTTGACATACTGAAGCTGAACTCATTTTTATGATTTTTGGCGAATTCAAACTATAGATATTACAAATAATCCAATTTCAAGGCAATTTCAGTTAATAACGAAATGTTTCACGTAGTTTCTATGGCACACGAATGGTTATGTCGATATCTACAACAATTCAAACACATTTACCACTTCCATTATAATGCAATTACATTTCACAAAAAACAAGTTATTGTTATAAACATTTATAGCTGTGACTAAAAACATGAGAGTAATTTTATTCTTATATAAAAACCTATTTCAGGCTAGAACGCTTCCGTAATAAAAACTAGAAATATTTGTATTAAAAAATGCTGTATATATTTTTAGAATCAACAACATTTCAATGGTTAAAATGGATCAAAGCACTTTAACAACTGTGATTTCTATTTATCTTTAAGACTACAAATGATAGCGGAGCCCTGAGGGCGAACGTGGTCCGCTTTGTTGATACGAATAAGCCTCATTGTATCCAAAGGATCCCCTCATTACCGCTCGTCATTACTGCAAATGTGTCAATCACAGGAAGAAACTTTATGAGCTTGATCGTAACCATAATTATACTAGCTAACCCTTTATTTATTGAGTTTGCAGTATCTTAAAGCCTCTTTTGTACGAAAATATTCGTAGTAGTAGCAGATAGAGAATTGAAATAGAAAGTACTTGCATTTTAAGTCATTTGAAGGTCACGGGACAAAAATTAATAGTGCTATACGAAAGTAACTTAAATCTCAATATTAAATACTTATTCAATCCCAATGTTAGGTTTTAAATAATCTACCATTCAATCATTCATATGTGTAAAACTTTTACCTTCCCTAATATATGAACGAATTAATTATTTCGCATTTCTCAAATTTAGATTGTAATTTTCGTTGATAATAAATTTATACTAGTCTCCTATAGAATAATAAAAAAAAAAAACAAACAAAAAGTCGACTACTTATGTAACCACATCCACTCAAAACAAACAAAATTCTGAACAAAGGCTTACAAGTATTTTAAAACTCGAATGAAGGGTAAATCCTGTAAAGGGAGACTTGCGGTTACAGCTTTAGTATAAAACTAGTAGTAAAATATATATACCTATATTATATGTTATTGCACTCGTAATAAGCAATAAGTAATAGAAAAAGAGACCAATTAAAATAAAAATTAAATATATATTGAAGTAAAAAAATCCAATCAAAATTGACTTAAACTATTATTTTGAAATAGAAATAAATAAATATTGTGCTGACCTTATGTTCAATTTGGCTTACAAACTCATGTTAGGAATGAAACATTTGATCAGTTTACCATATTTGAAAAATATAAATAGCGCCATCTATTACCGGTTACATGAACTAAGCTCTATGAAAGTAAGTATATCGTTGAAAAAATTCAAATTGGAGCCGCTAGATGGCAGAATGTATAAGTTTCACTGCCATCTATAGAATGGAATACAACATTAAAAACCTATATTGTTAGTATAAACTAACAACCTAAAATTTTCACTAGATGTCATAAGCGATTTTGATGGCATTTGTTTTTAAAACCATTTAGCTTAAATCACTGTCAGGTTTAAGTTATATAATAAATTATAAAATCATTTCTACTGTATAAATCATGTTGTTTTTATTGAAAAAAAAAAAACGGTTGCACTGGCTAGACTTGTGTCCTTTATTCAGTCGGTTGTATTAAAAAAACATGACATTGAATGCAAAATATACGTATTAAATATTAGTTAATAATTTATCCATTGTAATATTATGATCAAAATCATAAGGGCATGTTTATTTTTATTTAATCTAATCCATGAAAATCGATGTTTGACATCTAAACATTGTATAGGGATAATTAAAGGTAAAAGAATACAAGTTTTTATTAACCATTATCATGATGGAATTTATTTTTCTCTATGTCAATGATACATTACAGTTTCTAGACAAAAGTAACCGCACACAGTTAAAATACGTCTTTATAATTATAACATTGTATCCTTTGCAACAGATAGAATTTAACGAAAAAAATATATATATGGCTGAGTTTGTTGTACCTATTAGCTACAAACTTAATTCATCAGAATATCAGGCTCAATATGAGCTATCACAATTCTCGACCGGCGGTCGTCCTACTGATAATTGACAAGGTCAAGGCGAATTTAAAACTCAACATTCAAAAATACAATTTTTTTATTTATTCATCGATACTTTATATCACAGTAGGAGACCGGGCGAAAACCAGAAAAAAAATTACACTATTCAAAGCATGCTAATAACGTAACATTACAACTAGGTCATTCATAATTCTCAATGAACATAATGTAATTTAAAATGATCGGATACATAAACATATGTGTTACGTTACATATAAATTTGAACAATATTTCAGTCTCACTCACAAACAAATGCTTGATATAAAATACTGCACTCAATTCACATTCACATTCACAGGTTAGCTTACGTGTATGTATAGCTTCGTGATACTATTTGATCGATATACAACTTATTCGATCGCGTCTACAATAAGTTAATGAACTACGAAATGCCCTAATTAGTTACAATTACATGCAAGGCATCAGCTTCCCCTAACATTATTATTGGATTTTCGTCACTATTATGCGCGACCGCATTTTCCTAATTTCATTCGTAACTTTAAATTAAAATAAACTAATTCATTTGACTATCACACTTGATTCAACATTCAAATATTTCGGAAGAACACTCAAAACTTCAGTGTTCTAATACTTATTAATACATCTAGGCATAAAATCACATTGAAGTATTGAATGAAAGAAATTAAATATTGGTCATAGAAGTAATAGTAGCGATCTTTAAGGATATGTTTCAAAGATAAAAGTGGGTCCAAAATGTAAACCCTTGTTTAAATATAATATTTTCAGATATGATTATATGTCTCACCGATATGAATTCATAAATTACATAGATTGAGTTCGTGAGAGAACTCTGTTATAGCATTGAAGGTTCCTGCTTCTATGCCGTTACGATCTCTGTTAGGATATTTTCAATACACGTATATTTGCTTCAGTTGGGGCTTGAGCTCGGGTGGAATCGTGTAAACTTCCTGTTCAGGCTTCTTTTTGACGAGTCGTTTCCATCGCCCACCAATATTCTTGCGTAAACTGCGAAAACTAGCTCGCTCGTTACCAATTGGCTGCATAAGGTTGTCCTGTAATACAAAATAAAGGCGAATTAAAAACAGATACAAAATAAGTGTGTGATGAAATAAAATAGTAGATTACATTCGTGTATTTCATTACATTGACCCGTAACCTAAAACAGTTTGCCGTTAGCGTAACAGTTGCATTAACTGCACTCAGTACACCGTTCAAACAACTTCCTTTACAAATCATTCGTGCTATTAAAAGCCGCAGTTGCTAACCAAAACGTAAAAAGAAGGTCGACCCGTCAAACATTAAATATTATTATTCCCAAGAACGCGGGAACTTTTGTAACTGTCGTTTCACTCAACGCGCCCGCTTGGCATTTCAAACGACTCCTTTGTTTGCATCAACATGCCCATACATTTTGAAAATACAATGTCTTATAACAAGCTTTGACTACATCTATGACATACAGGAATGGATGTTGCGATTATTTCTTTTATACATCGAAGAGGCTTATATGGTAAATTGAACGTTAAGACGATGAATATAAGGCCGACCTTGAATTCAAAGACACATTAGTATTCAAACTTCCTGGTGGCATCTTTGTAAGTTTAAACAAATCATGAACAGTTGGTAACGATTGATGCACAAGCCATTTTAAATGTTACGGGCCACGGTTATTAGACCGTTATATTACGGTTAAAGCATTTGCAACACTACAATTTTAAGAGCAGAACAGCTGTTAGTTTCAGCCTCCTTTGTTCTTTTAAGAAAGAAGGTCGAATGGTTACAACATGTTCGCCTTGCACAGCTTTCTACTCGGCGAGCGTGTCCCGACATTTAAATTTATTTAACACTTAGACATCGTCATGCTACATAACCAACTCTCTCTCTCGCGCGGTGGGGACACGGGTTAGGCTAGTCACGAATCAATTCAAAAAACTAATAGAAAGTTATTAATATCACTTAACATTTGGGTCAAGTATTATAAATGAGACTGAATGACTTTATTTACAAACCTGATCATGAGGATAGACGTAAGGCGGAGGCAGCGGTGGTGGGAACTGCCACAGTGGCTGCTGACGGAAGGCAAGAGGCTCGGATGGTGGCTGCGGGGCGGCCTGCAGCACAGCTTCGGCTGGGGTGTACCGAAGCCGAGTGCTCCTCGCGCTTGCGCAGCTTGCTGTGGACGATACGGATCGCCATCATAGTTCCGTTATTCCCAACCATGGTAACGAATGGATTATCGACGCAAGATGATGAGAACACACTGGGTTGAATCACAGGTAACAAGTTCCAATCGGGCAGTCACAACATATTCAATTCACAATTTCACTCACAGCCGAATAAGTGTCTAAACGCGTATATCTATTAACTAATTTAAATAAATTATCACAATTATTTGTAAGTAGAACTATTGCACATATCACTGCTCGTAGGAACGCGCGGTAGACCGCGTTACGCGAGCTTCAGCTGCGCGGTGACTAGAATGTTATCGTTAAGTGTGGCCGGCAGGTGCCTAGCAAAGCGCTCGCTCGTGCCAAACGACCTCTACGGAGTACTCCATGCGTCTGAGTTGAAGTGGAGGGGCGCTCAGGGCTTTTATATACTCGCATCTGATGGCGGCGCCAGTGCGGTTGAAGGGGGGCCGCGAGTCGGAGGAAGGGGGGGGGGGAGCGGAATCAAACGATGTGGCCATTTTCCATGAAAAACTACGTATCTTGGCGAGTATTGGTTGTCACATTATCGTCACAATAATGACGCACCCATAGCGACCGTTGGTTTGTCCCGGCGGTTTGAATTAGGAAATACTATACGATATACAATGATCTGTGAGATATTGGCTGTGAGTTGAAATTGTCGAATACGGAATACAGTTGCATAATATAATATTTGAGTCTAGCTATAAAAGATTTACCGCGACCGTTTTACATTTTGACATTTAATCCATCATCTTAATCGCTATTCGTAGGTACAATATATCCATCACCATATTAATGTCAGTCGGATAGTCAGGTCAGGAGATAAAACTATGATTATAATAATGACAACGTAAGTAAACATTGAGCACGCCTCCAACACAGGATAGCGTGGACTAAGTTATTGAAGTAGATAAAACATGCCCGTATTGATTCCACTGATAGTATGTCTGGGGGAGAGATTTCACCATCTACCGAGTTCAAAGTCCACAAAATACGAATGCACAGTCGTGTACATACATTTACAATAACGGCTGTGGATAAAGTAAACGCAACAACCATTAATATTGCATCTCTTTCTATCGACCACGGCATTACATGTATAGAGGAGGAGGTGCAGATTTTATTCTTGCAACTTAAAAAGACAAAGTAGGGCTACAGGGCAAGGGAGAAAGGGAAGGTGCATTGCCCTTAGTCCGTTCCTTACACAAATAAACCTTCGGGCTTTAACTCAAATATGGGATAAAAAACACAGGTAGTGAGCCTTTATATTGTGTTACCCTTGAGAATCGTCTAGAGGATACTGCCAATGTTAGTTGCATAGCAACAGATTCTAGTCACCCAAAAGAATATTCTATTATAATACAAAATAAAAATGTATGGATGTTTCATGTCTAATTCATCACAAAGACGTAACAAATTCTCCCAACATCAAATAGTCACATACAATTCTTTGAACTGTAAAATAGGTTTTATTTTTTTAATTTTAACAATCATTTATGTCGAACCGTCACATTGTTTAAAAAGGATAACAAGACGATAACATTTGTTTATCTACTTTCTGTCAGTTAAACTATTCTAAAACCAATAAAATAGTCCAAGCTGTTCGTATAATACTTTAAAGATTTCAGTATAAAATACAGGTATAACAGAATTTCGCATTAAGAGCCTTCTGGGTATATCAATTATTATCACGTTAAAAATCAATGTTTTATATATTATGTGCTGTTATCGGAAATGCATGGTAATATTTACACTGCAAGCGGCAGCCTGTGACCATTGACGTCAAACATTGATGGAAGTCAATGGGGCCATATTTTTAATATGATCCACATAGAATAAAGAATTGATAACGCAATGCTCGAGTTGATTGCAATCAACGAGCATTTACTAGACGATACATCTGACAGATGGAAAATAATACATGCAAAAACATAACTTATTCCTAAACAGATATGGTTTTATTTAGAACATCTTTTATAATTTTTGAATTACATTGAAACGTGAGTAGTTTAAAAATGTCTTAATTGGAATAGAAGTTATACTAGTATTCATATTTAACCCAACTTTTAGGTTAAGGTGGTAGGATCATTTTGCCGCAGTATGACAGCAATGAACAGTGACAGGCAAATTTGACTTTGACATGTAAGATTAAAACCTTTATAATTTAGAAAGTGACTTTTTCCTTTCACTAATATATTTCGTAAAATAATATTCAAAAAACATTTTATTTTTTCGTGAATTCAGACAATTAAGCAAAGCAATTATAGAAAACATTCGAACAATTATTAGAAAATTGATATTCTGTTTCATATTTACAAAACTTAATAAATGTTCAATTTACCGATAATTTTTATGAGATTTTAATAAATATACAAACAGATCATACAATATAAATATCTTTTCTTGTAACATGAGACACACGAGATGTTAATACATAAGTTTTTATCTCTCAGCCTTGGTCAGGTGAATCGATTCTCTGTAAGGTACTGTTTATATTCAAGACTGTGTTTATGAACCGATGATACCAGCCGGTTATATAAACATGGAAAGAAAGTCATCAGCGTCATTAAGACGTACCGTTTGTTTTTTCACCCGTTAAAATAATATAACTTGTTTCTTAAAGCTTACTGAGAAAGTTCTTAATATTGATCGAAATGAATAAACGTCAGAAAATTATATTGCTAGTGCTGCATTCGTTATAATACATTTGAATTATTATCAAGACCGAAGGTTCTTAACCCTTATCGATTCACTAAAGAAATTTTTGAGACATTTTGACAGTGACATTGACATTTGAGTACTTCAAATATAGACCTTATTACCTTTTAATATTTAACTTTTACAGCAGTAATTAACATTCAACATTGCTCCTAAATCTATGAATATTATATAAAGTTAAAGTATTGTTTGTGTGACCAACTATATTTAATATCATGAAACTCATTAGTTAAACATAGGTACGCCCCCAAGGTCTTTATTGTTCTAGACAGTCTTTTAAGGCGATGGTGATCGATTTCGAATACAACTTGCTCGCTGTAACAACCTTTGGGAAATCATGTACTTAAAACGTTTTTTATAGCGGCGTATTAAGTAGGTTTTTGATATTAAACGACCTTTTTCCGTACAGAAGGCATTGTACCAACGTTCATGACCTTGCGAGAAACGATAGTTCCTTATGTTGATTAAATTTTTTTGTCCGTATTGGTTGATTCACTTTACCACCTAAATATATTTTGTATTGTTGAAAACTATTAACAATGAATGTTTAAATATAAACTATTTGTTCACATTTAGACGCGACAAGTCGATTAGGAACATTCAATAGTAATATGCGTACCGCAAAGAATTTACCTTGACAGGTAGATGTCAACCTTGATGGCTGTTGGTATGACAGAAAACTAGTTTCACCACGAACAACTATATTTCATGAATATTATATATAATATAGCGAATTATAATGAAAGGAATCAAAAATAGAAAGTAACGCAAGCAAACTAAATACACAAAGTATTTTAGGGTAAAATTAACTGAAAATTTATGTACCCGCGTTCGAATGGATTGTTTTTGTTCCTTCCGCAGAGACAGACTATTGTTTTGTTAACGGATAACACGATCAGGGAGTTGTGCTCCAGGACCACACCAACTTCGCAGTTTTCTTCCTTGCACTTCATCGCCTCAACGGCGATCGGAGCGAAGAGCATCGAAAGGTTGGCGGAGAACGAAGCTCGCCTGGGCGGGAACGCCAACGTGGGGCGTCCGACGCGTTTTGGCGCAGACTGCCGGTCAGGCTAGCTGACGGCTCTGCCGATACTTTGGTGTCGGCGTGGTATCGGCACCTCGCTCACACGGTGGGTGGCGACTGAACGCACCTCTCCCGTTACCTCATTGCTATGTTATGGGGGCTCGACCTCGTACAGAAAGCCCTCCGCATTAATTATTATTTGCATTGCGTGTAACTAAAAATATAATTATAGCCATATGCACGTGAACCGCTTGTATTCACCCAAGGAAAACTGTATCACAAATGTTTTTGTGACACGCAAAAATCTAGTATCAATCTAGCATAATCTAGAGTGAAAAGACAAAAATGTTTATTTTTCTTTAATATTACGTACTTAAACAGAAGAATATTTTAAATTGAAAAACAAATTCATGTATTCATATATACGCAACCTTCTATTAATAATAAGTAATTATTGAATGTCAAAGTCAATTATATTTATATCACCATATTATTACGTGACGTATGTTGTTGCTATCCTAAAATAATATCACAATTTTTAACTGTAATAAATGTCAAGTTCATATCATATGTATATCGACTATTACAAACCAATTACTTGTAGAATAATTTATTGCAAATTAAACGCTAACCATAAATCACTCTTATCTCAATTTCTGTAACAGTTAACAAGCTTAAAATAAAGAAAACTTCAGTAACAGGTTACCTGTTACCATCCAAGAATTAGAAATGATATGAAAATAAACCGATTTTACATTAGCCACACTGACGGAATCCATTGGGCTGTGATATCAGATTAAAACAACGAAAAAACCTGTTCGTAACAAAATATACATCTATTACAGTTGAACTACGATGTTCAGACAAGAGAATTGGCAGCCATCCAAGTTTGACCCGGTAGACCTTGGTAAATTATTGTATAACACGCTTTAATTACTGGTAATCTACTGACATCCGTGTGAATTGAGCTTAATATTTAATGGCTATTACAGCCGTGGGTAATATTTGCCCTTGATGACGATCGGGAACAATAAAGCGTATAATATAACAAACGGTCGTACTCATAATTGATTCTGATAGAAAGACACAATCTGTTGGAATATTCCAAAGAATATTCTACACGGTCGTTGACCGCGGCGAAGTTAATGAAAATAACCGTAGATTTTTTTTAATATGGTGTTTAATTCCTTGTTGGAATTCAAAGTTGGTGAAGGAGCATTGATCGAAAATAGACTCATGTGAACTGGATTTATGCGGACTACGAAGATAATGTACAAGCAAGGTTTCTTGATTCAGAATGATTTTTTGGTTAATACTGAACAATATATTATACAAAGAGATTTTTTGTATACAAAACTACTCAGACTATTGTTAATACAAAATAACAATATAGTAGTATCCTGTTACACGAGAAACTACTTATTTGGTGTTATTTACGCTCCCCATATACGTAACACTAAACATTACTTTGTTGAAACAATAAACAGTAGTATTGATCGCTTTTAGTAAGTAATTCTAAAATATGGTTATACTTTAAGAATTTTTATTCACATTTACATATATGAACATAAGAAAATTATCGCTTGAAATAAAATAATTGACACGTTTAAGAAAAATGATATTAAAGAGGTTACTTACAGCTTTTTTAAAACTCTCATGAAAGAAAGTTTTATCGCACTTATAAACTTCATCATAGGATATTAACAATTACTATGTACACTTAAATTATAAATTAATAAATTAAGAAACGTCTATCCCAACCACAAATGCATTACATATAAAAACATCGGTATGAAGTGATCAAATAATTGACACCTACCCTCAAATATAACTGTTTCAACGGAAACTGAAACAGTTTCATATTATGACTTCTGTATCATTAATTATTGGATTAACTTCTTTGCTCACGTAAAAGGTATATTAATGATTTCAAATCACATTATAGAAATTTTCATCAAATTTCTTTTGTTAGTAAAAATTAAGATAGGTAAGGTCTTGACATATTTTAGTAAAAACATCAAAGGTTTTTGTTGCGAGTAGTAGGTATCAATATTACTTTAGATTTTAAATATGAGTAATCATTTGTATAGTAGAAAGGAATTAAGAAAATACAATGTTTAAATCCTTGAACATACAAGCATCTATTGGCCGTTCTATTGCCTTGGACTTACGAGTAAGATTAGTGGAATTGTTTAATGCGTTAGACGGGTTCTACTTTGGCAATTACATCACCCGATGTTGGGTAATTGTTTGAATAAGACTGAAATCAACTAATGTAATAATAATTGTATACAAAGCTTATAAAATTTTATAACATTATAGCCAGTTGTTAAAAATAAAGTGCACAGATCTATAGATAAATCATCTAATGACATCCAGAAGCAATTAGTGCTGATGCATGATTTTCAAACAGACAAAGATTACGGATCGACTGGGAATGCAGCGTTTCTTGTCAATGAGCCAAAACAATAATTTCAAGACGCATTTAAAATATCAGGAATAATTATTTTACGGTTGAACTTTGATTTAACCATGATATATATTTATAAAGGAATCAATTCTGTCTTTGATTTTTATTCTTTAAATTCATTTTCTGTTACGATATTTATGATAAAAACGCATAATTTGTGAAAAAAATGTGATTGAATTGATAGCTAACTATTAAAAAATACACTCACATCTACTCAACCGCGATGCAAACAGTGTGTGATAAATATTACAAAACATTATTTACTAGCGAACGATGATTCAAGAACATCATTGCTTTTACGTGAATCGATGCAGATTCAAAAGCTTTTTGCTTTATGGCCGGTTGCCTAATATATTATATAAAGTACAATATACACTGAACTACTAACTGGGAACCGAATTGGATACTCGTAAAACCGAAGTGGTGCTCTGAGATCAACATTTACTGCTTCTTTTATAACAGTCAAAGTCTTATAGCCAACATTACAGTCAGATTATCGTTCTAAGTGGTCATAAAATAAAAATATATATACCTGCAAATCAACCCATGTGTTTAATAAAATGATTCTGAAGCTACCGTTGTGATACTTACTTGATAGTTAAAGCCAGCAGCACTATAATTAGGCCAACGAGGGCCATGGCTATAACAACACCACCGATCATGTAATTCGCATCATTCGGGGCATCTGAAAAGAAACGAAAAATATATTTATTAACTCAAATAATTGGATAAATTTAGTACGAAAACATTTTTTGAATATAGGTATTTGGCAACAATGATTTATGTTCCATACAATATTTTATTAAATTATATACATTTTTATGAATAATTCTTCAAAATAAAAATAAATTATAATTTTGGTACGCTATACATACATATTATATACTTTAATAAAATATTATTTTTGCGTCATGTGAATGAAGATGAAGTAGTTTTGATGGTAGTTTATCTTTAATTTTTTCTATTTAAAACTAATAGAAGTGGTTATATTCATTTAAAATAAATGTACAATCATTCCATATAACCAGTATGTCATATCTGAATACATAACCGCTTCACTCTGGTTGATATATGAGTACCACTTTGAACCAATTGTAGAATGTCCTCACTAATCGATCACGGAAACAAAGCTAACAGCTAGATCGAAATATGTTCACAAAAGTATATTAAACCTTTAAAGTAGTGACCTATAAGGAAAGAATATTTTAAATGAAACATGTATTAGGTTTTTTGTTATTTTTATAAAGTAAATATTTAATGTATTGCACCATTTTATTATCATTTCGAGGTTATTTAACTAATGAAAGCTGATGTACCTAATAATGGATAAGAAGAAATAATATTTTGGATATTATAGACATTTTATATCTACTATATTATTGGGAGTTTAAAAACTATTCAAATATTTACGATTTTATTCAAGGAAATGTCCAAAATCATAAAGAAGGCAAAAGTTAAATCTTTCAAATATACCATACTAAATATATACTTTCAATAGTTTTACTAGGTGTCGGTATTGTAATTGGCACCACTAATAACTGGCTTAGCTTTCTTAAAACAAAGAAAGTGTATTGAATAAGATATTATAAAACACTAGCATTTACTTTCTCGCTTTTATTTAATTATTTCTCTAATCCTGATTACAATAAGGCAACCAAGATAACAGACAATGTTCACTAAAGTAATAAGCTATAATGGAGATTATTATACATATTGAAACAATGAACAACTAAATGGAAATAGTTAGAATTCGAAGAAGCATTTTCTAGCATTACTGTTACAATATATAAAAAAATAATTCAGTAAGCGGTGCTTAAAGAACTAGATTCCCAATTCTAAGAACAGGAAAACAAGAATGTGAATATGTCAGGATAATATTTCAAAGTAATATGCATATTATTGATTATGAAACATGACATAAACACGGAAAATTCATAACAAAATATTTCAAATTTAATTGAAACAGATAACTTCCAATTAATTGTTTATTCAACAGAAATATTTTATAAAAATATCATTGTTTTTTTAATTGATTGTATTAAAATACACGTAAAACTACTTAGTGCTTCAACTGTAATAGGATTCCTAGTATCAGGTGTATTAAGCAAGTGCATCGGCCGGCATGAGTGGATCGGGAGTGAGGTTATTGCTCCTAATAGTATACGGGGAATAAGAGACATTTTTTTCGTTATTAACTTGGGAATTATACGTAATAACATGAATCACGATTGAAATAATTACGAGAATACTGCAATTAAAGTCATTAAACACAATGTTTTTACCAAAATTCATGCAATTAGACCTCTTTATTTTTTTGTATGACGCATAGCTATGACAATGTAATTAGTTCGTTGAAGAACTAATAATTATACACACACATACATACTCGTACATTTGTCGTAACAAATATAAAAAGTTTTAAAATATGTTGGTATATCTATTGTGTTGTGTTTTGAGTAATCGATATGTTTTATTTTTTGCGAGTGGAAAACCCGAATATATGTTGTTTTCCTATTAAAAAAATCCTTTTCGAGCAGACCCTACATTAATACTTCCGTAATCGTAAACTGTTACAAATAAATCTCATTATACGAGACTCGTATTATGTAACTTGTGTAATATTTCCTGCAATGTTATAATTACAAGACGTA